GCATAAGCAATCTTGATCTTCTTCAATCCTTTGAAGTGGTTTATTGCATTGACCACGTCCTTGGCAAACCTCTCTTTCGACGGATAGGCCCATATGACGCCTGTGTACCTGTCACGAATGACGAAGATCTCTCGATCAGTACTGATCCCTTGATCAAGGATGTTCCTCGTATCGACAAAATCAAAGGTAACCAGATCCCCAAAAGCTTTGAGCTTTCTCTTGAACGCTCCTCGATGCGTCTTGAAGTGTTTCATCTTTGCTCTGATGCATGACTCACAGTAGGGATTCTTGTAACGGTGTGTGAGTAGATGTTCGATTTTCCTGGCATCCGCTTTCAGAGTTCCTCTTCTCACCATTCTGCTTGCACCGTCAACAATATCCACCTCGATGTCATCTGCATCATCATCGTCAGCTTCTGGTTCACTGTCTCCGGCGACATCTGATCCTACCTCATCTTCTTCTCCAGGAGATGCCTTGAACTTCTTATTCCTCTTTCGTCTTTTGACTTTTGGAGGCTCAATCACAGGGAGGTCGTCATCATCACACATGACGCCTTGAGGATCCACATCACAGTTGATGAAAGCCGATTGGTAATCAGCTTCACCTTCTCCTAGGGTGAACCTTGCGATCATCTCCGCCCTTACATCGTCGGTGGGGTTACAGAAGTCACTGCCCTTGACAATATATGGGATGTTTCCCTCTACTTCTAACATGATTTTCTTGTAGTTCGGGGAAACCATGTACGGGTTGCCGCAGGCTGGCCATATGAATGTGTAACCTTCCTCCATGCATTTCTTTCCAACAGACAGTACTGAAGGAGACTCATCTAAGACGAATGGGGAGTAGGTAGAGTCAAATTCGTCGAAATGAATGTCGGCGACTCCCTTTGTGGATGTCACTCCATTTGCAGTATAGAATGACATTGATTGGTCGCTTTCTCTCACTTCCAGACCTAATTTCTTGGCTCTGCCTTTCGATATCAAATCATACCCACATCCTGTGTCCATGATGAACTTTGTTCTTGACCCTTTGGCTGGAATAGACAATGTCTTTGTGTCTGCATGATCTTTCTTTCCCTCGCATACATGAGGAATGACTTTATGATGGAAAACTAGGCCGTCATCTTCGTCAAAAGACATAGTGACCGCTAGGTCACCCTTTGGTCCAACTGGTATTCGGACCCTCTTGATCTCAGTGTAGGGGACCATCAATATGCCTCTTGCCTCTGCGACCTTTTCTTCAAATCTGATTTGTTCTTTCCTCGTGTAGCAGGTGAGCTCTTTCTCATCGTATCGTTTGATGTCTGGACGTAGAGGTTTCCTTTCTACTACCTTCCATTTGTTCCTGACTGAGTAGATCGCTTCGTTCAACATGATCTCACAAGTCTCTTCATCAAAGGATACTTTTGCACCTCCTTCTCTTGCCTTGGCGGACGCAGCAATCCCTTCATCTTCGGATTCGTCCATGAAGAGTTCACCGTCAATGGCTGGGGCTCCAGGCTTCGCCTTAGGCTTCGGTTTGGGTTTTGCCTTGGGCTTTGGCCTATCGTCTCTTGAGTCAGCTGGTGCAGATATCCCTTTCTTAGGAGAGGCTTTTGGGTCATGGTAGAACTTGCAATCCTTCCCTTTGTCACAAGTTCCTCGAATCCACATCCAACATACTGGCTTGTCATTCTTTCCGACAGAAGATCCTCTGGATGGTGATCTGGGTTTCTTGTGACTGAATGGGCAATCTTTCCCCATAGTGCAGTTACCTTTCACGAAGTATTTGCATGGTATCTTCCTCTTGTCTGTACTCGGACTTCGGCTGCGATCCTTTCCATCACCTTTACCTTTCCCCTTTCCCTTTTTGTTCTTGTCTTCAGGATGCTTCTTGGGATTGGGTTTCGGCTTCACTGCAGCAGCGTCTTCTGAGACAACCTGTTCTTGTTGCCCTTTTGGTTTCTTCTTCGGATCAGCTGGTGCAGCTTTCAGTTTTGGAGCAGGTCCGCCTGGTTTGAGATTCTGAAAGATATTGGCCACATTCTTCACTGCCTTCTCCTTTTCCAGGATCATCCTGTCTTCAGTTTGCCGTTCGATGTGCCTTCTGATCATATCACGTAGATGTTTGTATGTCTTCTTGGCATCATCGTCGTTCATGCTGTTGTAGGCGCTGATGTCGTATGCCATGAGGTTTGAGTTCCTGATCTTTCTCCATAGGAGATCCCGAAGAGTTTCGTCGCTCGGGACGTCAACGGGCTTCATTCCTGCCAGAATCTCATCCCAAGTGTGGAAGAACAACGATAAGTTCTTGTCTCCTTGATATTCTAGTTGGTAGAGGTGCATTGAAGTATATAAGACTTCCACATTTGATGTTGTCTTGAAATTCATAAGGATCAGGGCTAGGACCTCTCTTCCCTTTATGAGGCTTGATGTTCTCCCTTTTGCATTGATCCTCGTCCTCAACTTCATAGCTACACCTGAACCATCATCTTTCGCATCCATGACGACCTTGGTAAGAGCTAGGCCGAGTTTGGCATCGATTGAATGGAATCTTTGGTCTCCTGAGTCGACAAACTTGTCCGGATCAGGATCGTCCATGGCTTCTTTGATCCAGTCGATCCAGGGCTCTTGATCTGAATCATTGGCCGCAATGATGATCGATTGAATGAGATTTGCCTTCCATAGTCCAAGATCATTGATCCTGGGCCATGACGGAACGTTTATCTTTGATTCTTCCTTCCTCGATACTTTCATGATTGTAGAGGTTGCCGGTGCAAGATGAGATGAAGAGGATGCTTCTGCTTCTGAAATCTTGTCCCTCAATGATTTGTTCGCCTCGGATAGCTCAATTGATTTCTCCCTTTCCTCGGCGTACTCATTGTGGGTTTCGGCATACCATTCATACATCTCATCTCGGCTCTCTGTCATTTCATTGTACCCGTCCTTGTAGTGCTTCGCCTCCTCTTTTGCGTTCCGAATCTCATCTTCCTCGGACGCGTGGGTTGGTAACCCGCGGTCTCTGGAACTAGGACGCTTGCTGTACCGAGAGACTATGGGTGCCATTCGTGCTTCTGCTTTTAATTTCGCATTTTCCATAATGACATTCTTTGTCTCCTTCTGGCTTTCCAATAGTGCATTCTCCAGTTCTCTGATCTTCTGTTGAATTTCAGCACCATCATCGCCGAACATAGGAGCTCTCATCATATTCTCTCTTTTCAGCTGTGCGTTGGCTTCGGATAGAGCGAGGTTGGCGTCTTTCAACTGTTGTCGTTCACGGATGGAACCTTCTAGGACTTCGTTGTTGAATATTTCTCCTTTTGCGATAACCTCCTTTGCGACGTTTGCTTCGTATTCATGGTGGCTCGCCTTCATTTCTGCCATTTCTTTAGCAGAGACTTCAGTCTGGCATACAAATATCTCCATCCTCATGCCCACTTCCATCTCTTCTATCTCCGCTCTCGCGTTGAGTTCAGCTCCACGTGCCATAGCTAGTTGACCTCGTAGATGATCAATAACCATAGCTTCCTGATTGCTCCGATCTTGAGATGAGTGAACACTGTGTTGAAGACGTCTTTCCCTGACCTCACTGTTCCATTGTTCTTCTCTCTGGTGTTGGATCACCTCGTGCATGTTGACATTCTCATCCTGTAGCGCAATCATTCTAGCTTGTATCTGGTCAGCTATTCCGACGAAGGCTGTGTTCTCATCCTGAATGGCTTTTGATCTTCTATTGATCGCCAATGAAGATTCATTCTGTTCTTGGATGTGTCCAATTGCTGCTTGAAGCTCTTGGGACATTCTGTCCTTCGTTGCTTTCACAGATTCAAGCTCTGAATGTTCTTGATGAGTTTCTTGTGCAAGCTCTTGATATCTCATGTAGATATGTTCAGCTGTCGATTCCGCCAAGCGTAGCTTGTGTTCGAGCTCTTCAATTCTTATTGTCGCTCCTTCATCTTCCTGTGTCATCTCTTGTAGATGTTCCTGCATCTTCCTGTTGTAGTCAGACATTTGCCTGAACTCCACTTCAGCCTCGTGGTGTAGTCGTGAGTATCCGGCTTGGATGCATTCATATTCTTCATGAAGAAAATTGTATGCGTTTCTCGCCGATCTCAATTCTTCACCCAGCTGAATCTCTCTTCTTTGCTCTTTTGTTCCTCTATCATCGTCACGTCTCTTCTCTATACTCCTTCTTGGGGATCTCGCGGTAGACGTTATAGGCGATGTAGATCTTGTTGTAGCTCTCATCGATCTTCTTGGTCCTACGGGTGCAAGATCGGTCAGATTCCGAGCCGGTGGCACGGATCTTTCCGAGATTTGTGATCCAGTAGGCATAGTGATAACGTCAGCATTTGCTGATGAATCAGTACCCATTGTAGAGTCTGGTGACGAAATGGTGTTGGGACCACCAGGAGCAGCGAATGAATAGGGTTCGCTTCCATTTCCTCCTGAGCTTGACATTGCAGGTTTCTGTAATGACTAGTCTTGTTCTTGGTCTCGTGTAGCTCGTACGGCTATAAAGAGCGCGTACGGCTGATAACCTGCGAGTGGATCTTAATCAGCGAAGTTTGAAGCTATCACTGACGGTCCATAAGCGGCGTAGCGTCGGAACGGAAACCGCACCTTTTCTAGTCGCTTGATCCTTGAGCCAAAGTACATATGGTACATATATATGTACAAGTTGCACTGTACGTGTCGCTGCACTTCCATTCGCATGATGTAAGCACTGGATACGATTGTAGAGTCACTAGGTTGTTGGCCAAACATGGGTCATACTGCCACTGACATCATCACCTGCTAAAGACTTTCTGAACAGTCCAGTTCGGTCGTGGCCAAACCCAAGATTGGAACAATAGGCACGCAGGACATCTGAAGTGACCTCATTCAGTCTCACCGTTCACGTTTTTGCTTCTGAAATTGATTGAAGTCTCACCAAGTCTTACCCATTGTTGCGTTTTTTCTATCTTCTATCCATTTGCAGCTCGATATTTGGGCAAGTCTCAGCGGATCACCGGATCCCGCCTCCCGGAAGGCCTTCCCTTTGGCCACCAGCTGATAGACCTCATCCGTCACGTAGAGGTCCTTTTCCGAGGAATTTGGGGCACAGGCCAACAACACCAAGAAAGCAAGGAATTCTGATGTTGTATGATGTTGTGACCCCCTCACCACTGGAACACCCCCCTGAGAAGTTGTGACCTCTGACAGCTATTGGGCCAAGTCCAAGGGCTGACCCTCTGTTCTTCGTGGCAGTTTGGTCAGGTCCAAAGGTTGAGTTGTGGATGTCAATGGGCCTTCAATCAACTATAGAACTTTAACCATGTCGATCAGCTACTACTATCTCTATATATATATATGATATGTACATACACATACAGGAATAAGAATGACAATTGGTGGTGTATGATACTCATTCAGAACCCGAACAATACGGATGAATTGCCCAAACCTGAAGGATATGGTCTAAACCTAGTCTCAAGAGTCGGGTAAGACATGGAGTCACTTGGCCAAGCATTAAAACACTCCCAAGGGTTCCAGAATAGAACAGGAACCCTCAATACCTCAATACTTCAGTTCCCTCTACAGAGTCCAACATGGCAACTCTCACACACCCAGCTCAGCATAGTAGGACAGTAAAGCAGAAACTAACCAATTTGACTATATACTGGTTTGCCTGTAATCCCACAAAATGCACATTGTATGCCCACATTACCCAGTCCCAAGGTCCTCAGTCATGGCAGCTTTGAGTTTTTCTTCTCTCACTTGCAAAGCAGGGATCACCTGGAGGAGCGCTTCACCCTTGCCCAATTGAAATATTGGATTCTCATTTCCTGTAAGGTTCAAGCAAAACTTCTACATATTGTCACTTGCACCTGGTGGTTTTCGATTGATTGGCTTGGGGTCTCTCAGCTGAGAGATGCTTGAATCCATGCCAATGAAAACTTTAGGCCTGACTCCTGGGTTGAACCAACACATTCGTGCGTACAAACCAAGGGGTCAGGGTCAAGCTTGGGGCATCGTCAGGCGGCTCCAATCTGTCCCAAGGCTTCGGTTCATGAGGATGGCGATGCCTGCAAAAAAGGCGTGTGATGGGACAGGTGAGCTATAGTGTAGATCCTATTTCAGCAGTGCCATTATGTGCCATTTGAACACTGCAGGGAGAAAGTGCAACTTTGTGGAAAAGAACAGGCACTCAAGAAATTCCCCTTGTCATATTAGGAACAAGTTTCACAGAAGGATATCCAACCCTCCCGCCCCTTGCCGTCTTCATGTTTTTTCGGCACCTCCTTGAGCAAGGCCAACGTAGAGGTACCAAGCTCGCCTGTAACAGAAGAGGTGAACTTTGACTGCCTGCCCACCAAAAAACACGGAAACCGGTTTTCATTTGGGTACGTCAAACAATATGGAGACTTCCTTATCCAATGTTGTACATTATACATGCATATATAAGCAGTCTAAAAGATCTAAAAGTTCCAGTTGTTCAAGAAATCTTTGGAAGGACCGCCGATTAATCAGGTGCTCCGATTTCAGAATCTCCAGGGTGGTGCAGGAAAATATTGACCATAAATAACACACTACATTATGTTTGATTAATGTGGACACACACACAAAGGAGGGCGGTTCTGGGACGATTTTATGGTGTGATTCACCAGTTCATTTCAACTCCCAACCCACCGGGTCCAACCCAGTCATCACACTCTCATGTCCCAGTCCCAGACCCCCCCACTGAAGACTGCATCTCCACTGATATTTCTTTGGGACGCTTAGTGAGGGCTCCAACCACGAGATTCAGGCTTCAAGACCAGCGGCTATGGCTTCCAAGTTGCAGGCTTCTACAAAGGCCTTCTTGGTGCACTGCAAGTCACGATGATATCCACTGCCCAAACCCACGATCGTCTCCTATCAGGGCGGATAGGTGGGCGTCCAGTCGGAACAGTTGGAAGATGTTGGAAGAATGTTGGAAGGCTTAGTGTCTCCAACACATCAAGGACCTTGCCTGGGTGCTTTGTTATTCCTTTGCAGTTGGTCAACCATCCCTCAACACAATACACGTTGGCATGTTGTCTTTGGCAAAATGGACATGGCTGAAATTTAGACTACAAAGTACCGTGCTCTGGGCTTGAACTATCATTACAATCATCACATCAAGAGCCGCCATGAATCAGCCAGACCAAGTCTCGGGCACAGCAACTCCAACTACAAGGCCCCAGCGCAAAAACATGTTCGGATCATACTCCAGGAAATTCAACCAGTGTCGGTGAAACGGCCATTTTGCTCCAGTTTGCGCACCTCTTTTCGCTCTTGCAGCTGCATTGCAGCTCGTTTATGTCTTGTCAAAACTTCGGGCTGAAACATTCTGCTCAGCTGACCACCCTACCAGAATGATCAGCGTGAACAGGACCTTCCAAACACTTGTGTTGCTGGTTATGTCAGGTACAGCTTCAGGCTTCTGTTGTTTCCGTTCCAAGCCACCTTTCCGCTTCAGCCTGCTATGGTTTGCATGTTTGCAATAAACATACAGTATTGTGTATTGCGTATATGTGCTTGCCGTTTTGTTGAGAACGAGTTGGGCAATATAACCAACTAATGGAACACTTACAGTAGTAGCTCCAACCCTGAATGCTTGAATCCACTCAATGACTCAATGGAAGATTCGCTTGTACCGGATGATGTAAGCAGGATATGTCTGAGCAGAGTCATAGACCACACATTCCTTGAAGGTGCCGTTTAATGTCTCTCTGTCACCGATCACTGAGTGCTTGCCCTGTGGGCATCCTTTGATATCGTCTGTCTCTTTGCTCGAAACATAGGCGTCCCCCAAAGTGCATCGCACCAGGAGCATTTTGAAGAAACCATCCTTATCTGAAGAAGCGTACTCATCTGCCTTGGTACAAGAGTCTGACATGTACAAGCCAGGACCGTATAAACTGCCTGTCCTTCTTCCAGCCATAGCTGTCTTGAAATTGGTTTCCTCGGTCTGGGCAAACTAGCTAAAGAAAAACACAGCATAACATAGCATAACATTACCATGCTGACCTTGGATAACTTTTCTGCTTCACGCACTTTAAGGGATCAAACCTCAAGGGGAAAATCTGGAGAAACTGGCAAAAGGGCATGCTTCTGCGATCTTCAGACAGCTGCCACAATGACTTCCATGGAATAGAAGAACTTCGTTCCTCAATTGTCGGAAAAGAGGGTTTAATGGGCCAAGTTGATCAGTGATCGCTGTGGAATTTAACCAAAATGCAAATGCAACCTGGAGATACCTGGAGTATGTCTCCAGATCTCAGGCCTCTAGGGTTCGGTTCTCTTTGTCCTTGCCCAATGACATGGTCACTAATTATATACATCTAATTACTGGCTGAGGTTCTTCGAAGCATCCATAGGCTCGCCAAAATCCAAACCTTCTCCTTTGCCAAGTGTGCGTAGTGCCACGCCAAGAGGGGGACCTGAAGGCATCTCCTTCCTCAAGGGGTTCATGCTCTAATGAGAAACACATAGAAAAACACACACCTGGTTCCAGGGCGTTTACAACCTTCAAAAATGCTGGGCTCCTCACACCACAGGCACATGTTGGTTTAGAAGCCCTTCGTGCAAGGCCGCACTACTGGCGCGAGACCATGCGAGGGGCTTTAAAGCCGACGTGCGGCGGACACCGGTCCTGCGTCTGTAATATGGAAGCCATGAGAATATATTCTCGATGCGGAACGCTTCATAAATCTGATACCTTGTCGGAAGATGCTGACATCTTCCGGCATGTGGTTTAAGAAAATGCCAGCAAGGGCATTTTCTGTCTCTGGTTCTAGCAGGCTTGTATGAATCGTCCATTAGCTCTTGAAGCTTTTGTAAAGTGCAAGTGTCAGTGAGCTTCACTCGTGGGTCACCACAAGCAAGGCTGCGGGGCTTGGTCCATGTTGACGGAGAATTTGAATCATAGAAGATCGGGTGAAATACGAACCTGTCAACTTCAAACCGGACTTCAAACAAGCCTTGCACATTGCCATCGGGATCCATGAGATACCCCTGCTTCATGATTCCATTCTCAAAGTGTCCGAAGAACAGCAAGCTCCCGTCGGGCCAAAAAATTCGACCTTTGCCATGAGGTTTGCTTTCCATACCAGTACAATGGCAATCACCGTAATAGATGCCTACATCATTGTTATGTGCATCCTTCCCTTTGATCACATCTTCATAGACTTGGCCAGTTGCAATCTCAGCCCGGCTCGCAGGCGGCTTGAAATGCTTCATGGACTCTGTCACTGGCTCCACTCCAAACCCTGCCGCAGTTTGGTAGCTAAAAAGCGAATGAACGCTTGCAGCTTTGTGAGTCTTATACCATACTACAGCCCCTTGCAAAGCAGCGCTGATGACTATGCGCTCTTGCACTTGCTCAGTCGTAGCCCCAGCAAAAGTAGCAAGCAACATGAGACTGAAACACAGCATTTCCCACATAGTATCCTGCTTGTTCCTACTGTCCAGAGACTGCAGGAAACCTCTTGAAGCTGCAACCATTTCATTGCAGTGAAGACATTCAATGGCGAGATTGCCAAACCAAGCACCAGCATCTCTCGTCCGAGCTTCAATGACATGCTGTCCTGACATGGCTTTGTCTTGCAGGAACTGCACCAAAGCATCCCATTCATAGAGTGGCGCTTTTGTCTTGCACCTGGACCTTTGGGCAAGACCAACATTTTTGCTGCTCACCAGAAAAATGGGAATGTGTTCTGCAAATCTTTGGAGATCTGGAAAAGAGCATGCAACCAGCTTGCGCAAGTTGGATGTCAGGTCTTTTGGGTCTACTGCGTCCTCCTCACCATTGCTTGCTTCAATTTCATCGACTCGAGTGATGACCAAAGCAACTCGATACATTGTTGTTTCATCGTTGAAGTGAAACGGTGCCAGCCGTCGGATCCACAGCAACCTCTCCTGGGTCGAGGCTGACCTTGGCTCATCCATCCTTGGCTGCATGCTGCTGATAGTCTGATAGCCCAAGGACCAGCAATTACGCCTTTCTAGATTGACATAAACTAGACAGGACTGGACTAGACAGTAGGCAGCCCTTACTGAAGCAATGAAAAGCATCCTGACAAGACAAAGCACCACATCGCTCAAGCGGACTGCTTTCTCAGCAAAGCCCCTGACCACATTGTTTAGAACTTCGTCAGGACCAGGCGTGTCCAAGATCTTCGTCTGCGGCGGTTGCCCCGGGACTTGCAGGAAGTCTGGAAACGGGCACTCAATGCCAAAATGTGTGATGATGTCCACTGAGCCCTGCTCTGTTGCAACACGATTGATGTTGTTCAAGTCCTTCAATTTCGTCTGCACCTCCTGCAGCAAGGCCAGCTATTAGGATTTGCCGAGAGGCTCATTCATCCAGTTCACAAACAACTGTATCCGGATTTTGATCTACTGTAACTGGTTTGCTGCTTTGGGAAGATGAAAGAAACATTGGTTTGCCCCGTCCTCAAGTGTCCCAATCACCACGGGTTCTGAAAGACCTTGCTGAGTAAGCCGGCAGTTTCGATCCCTACTAGGCTGTAAGCTGATCGTAGTTGACGTGCAGCTTTGTTGGTGCACTGGCCTGCGAATCAATGAGGGATTTGGACCAAACAACATAAACATACCTTGTATAGTTGCCCGACAAATTAATTGAATTTAATTAACACACACAAAGCTGAACGATGAACACCAAAAACATGTGACCTCTACAAGAGGAGCACTTCCAAGTGACACAGCGTTTGCGCCGAGCATTCGATTGATGAGTGACGATTTGCCGCTGTTGGTGCCGCCCGCGACACAAATCGTCACAGGAGCATGGGAGGCCATTAAATGTAATGTAAAGGTCAAAATAGCATACCTGACAATTTGGAAGAACGAACACGTGAATGCACCAAGCCTTTTTCTTGTTTTGTCACACTTTGCCGAATCTTGGAGGCTATTTGCACGCGTGTTGCATGCAGTCATTCTTGCAACCTCCCTCCGGATGAGCCGGCTGCATCTCCAGGCAGCTGTATCGATCGATAACTTGGGAGGCCAATCATCATGTGGCAATGGTTGTGCTGTATTGGCAAACAAACAGGAGAACCCCACACATCCTGGACCGAAAACTCTCGGATTTTGATTGAGTGTACTTTGCTGTGCAGGAGAAGTTCTTTTCTTAAAGAACAAACACCGCTTCGAACAAGATGCCTTCTTCTTCGAACGTTTGGGCCGTGAACACTTATCCATGCTTTTTACGATCGCCACTGCATGCATCGGACATATTACAACAGCTTCGGATTCGGTCTGTCATTCTTCTTTGAGGAGATAGATGAGGGACTAGCGTCCTTCATCTTGCTTTAGAAGCTGTCAACGCCACGTGTGTGGATTCACACCACCCCGCACCGAACACCCGACCCCAACCATGATCCAACCAAAGCATCATGAAAACGGACACCAAACGTGGGACGGTAAACGGGTTGGTAAACATGAATTTCTGAAGTGTTGAAGAAAACTCTTGGCACAGTCCCTAATGGTCACACTTCGCTGGGGGTCCAGTACTGTCCAAGAGGACGGCAGCAAAAACCCTGAACTAGCAGTGCGGGATCCACATAGAGTCCATGAGACCAACGCCAACGTCTGTGATCCTCCATATTAGGTGTGTCTTTTGAATGCAAACACCATCAGTAGTTAGAACCAATATAATATGACCAGTGCCCCCCCTAAGCTAACCACATTCCGCCTGGAAACAGCAGTAATCCTCTCTCCGTTTTATGCAATGCACCTACTGAGTGAACAAAAGTGGGCTTCCATGGAGTGGGGCAAGAGAACCTCTCCATTAGTGGTGCACAGCGCTCCATATCCCAACCTGTGGACCATCGTGGATGCGCCACGGAATCTCGGGCCACTGCTCTCCTGGATCTGCATTTGCAACGAGCCAAAAACCTGAAATGATCTGCTCTCTCGGGATAGAGAGCCGGGTAGGGAAAAGGCGACGGCTGACTGGTGGGGAACTGGTATACAGAAACAAACTTAAAATAACAGGAAAAGACATTACATGACCTTGAACATCCTTGAAATGGCAACTCAGGCACTTTGAGCTCTGCGCGCGAGGCTCGTTACCAGGCCAGAAGTCAAGTCTAAGCATTCAGCCGCCAAATGGGATAGTTCACAAAGTCTCCGGAGAACAGGTTCCTCGCCTTGCCATTGGCCCGCATGATCTCGAAGAGGTCGTAGTTCTTCTTCTGGGGCATGATGGAAGAACCTCCCAGGTGCCGAACTCTCTGCTTGGAAACATGTGGAAGCGAACACCCCTTGCGAACATTGGTTGAACTATAAACCTTCGGCTTTACAGTGGGTCCACTGCAGTGTCTCCACTATCCCCATCATATCCTCGCTGTTGCAGGATGTTGAACAGTATGTTCGATCTGCCAAAGTTCTAAGACAAACTAGACCTAACAAGGTCGAACGCGTGCTCTATCTCTTCACGTTCGATCTCAGAGTTGTTGCAGAACACTTGTCACAGAAAAAACAGAGTTTGTCATGATTGAAACTAGAAGCCGTTGATGGACAGCATGATATGAGAGAACTACTCCAAAGCCATCGGGTCTACTTAATGGGAACAGCATCCCTACTGGTGAAATCTGGCGGGAAAGCATTCTCTATCAACATGATCAACTAATTTCAGTTTAGCCAGCTGCCTGGCGTTTTACCCAGCCTGTCACAAAGTTGTCAGGCAGTGCCAAGAACAAGGTCTCTTGCTGAGTGAACATCATCATGTCCTCGCCAGGCTGGCATCACAACCATCATCATCAGCATCAACATTATCAGAGAACCACCGGCTGCATGACTAAGATGAAAAGACACGTACGACCTTAATGGATTGCCCCATCTGCAATGCTCCTCGTCAACCCACTAGCTAGCTGTGGGTCAAAACCCAGATCTCTCGGTGTACCCAAGAGATTTGGCTGTCAAAACGTCTTGTAGGTAATCCCTGGTCATCCAGAGTGAGACCGATCACCTCCTCTGAGACTTTGTTTTCATATATCCTTCAAATGGAACGACTTGTATCATACAAGTATCTGTTCATTGTTCCTCTCTTCATCTCAAAAGTATGGTGAAAATGATACAAACAATCACTTTACCTTGAGCTAACCCCACCCAAATACACCGGTATGATATCTGGGCCGGGGTGACTTGCGAGGCATCCCTGCGCCACGGTGTGTTGTGGCTATGCTTGGTGTTGTCATTATGTGACGTTGCTTGCTGTGTGCTGTCGTGTTTGTCCTGGTGTGTTGTCAAGTATTACATGTGTTAAGGTTATGTTGTGTGTTACCGTTCCTTGTCATTGTGTGCCATCCGCTGTAGTGTTTGTCCTTGTATACTGTCAGGTTTTGTGGGTTGTGGTTATGCTTAGCCATTGTGGGTGTCACTGTTTGTAGTCTGCTGTACCAGTGCCATGGTTTTGTTGTCTGTTGTTACACTGGGTGATGCGCTGACGCAGAGATCACGATAGGGAGTGTAGACAACAAAACCTACCTCATTCCGGCCGGGTGGGCAACAAGCCCGACGATGCCACAGCTCGTCACGAAATGGTCAAATCGTCCAAGTCTCTGTGGCAAATCGAGAGCTCAAGACCATCGCTAGGCTCATGGCCTCGCGAATGGTCTGTTCTGTTGTTCCGGTGGGAAGACCCAATTCATAGCCATGGATATTCAGTTTACCATGCCAAGCAGCTGTTGTCGCTCAGCCAACCAAGGTCTTGGAGATTGAAACACCATGCTGGTTGGAGTTTGGGGTCCATGGTAGCCAGGTTGCAAATCAGTTAGATGAGAGGCTACGCCACATGGAGGATCAAGTGGGACAGGTATCCTCGCATCTCTGGTTCCTAACAGGGATAAACCACGTGTGCATCATTACATGCGGAAATTTTAAGGGAACTTTTCTCAGTATCAAATGCACTCATATGCTCTCCGTATTTTCACCCAACACTACCTGTTGGAAGAGGTAATCCCTCAAAACCTCAAAGAAAAAAGAAAACATATAGGACATCTGAAGCAGCACACTGCTGTGCATGCGAGTTGGTGCTGGAAGCCTTCCTTCACAGTAGTAAGTAGTAGAATGCACAAGGACTCTCTGGACTCGCACTCTCAAATTGCCATGGCTCCTTTGCCATCAAATCAACATCTCAGGAAACAACATATATCTCCACACTGGGACTCTCGGTCATCAACAAATCAGCATCTCAAACCATCCTAACTACAGTAGATTGAGAAAATATGTGTGTATCTGTGTATATATATATATATTACAGTATTATACATAACACATTGAGAACCAAAATGATCATATTGGCTTTACTTTTCCCACATTCTGTCTACATCACAACAGCCATCAACAGCCCAAATACATTCTCAGCAGGGAGGCAATGTTTCATGCAAACCGCCGACACCACAAAACAGGGAGCAACCCTGTGTGTTCGTTTATCTCTGGTCCTGCTTCCAAGAAAATCAACGAAATACTCCAGCTCCCAAAGACAACCAAAGACAACCTTTCACCTGGCCTGCAAAGCAACGTTCTCAAACATCCCTCTGCTGAGGCCACAATACCTGCAGCAAAACAAACTTTTTTCATCGTGCTTTGGCGATGCCCAACTACGCCACCGCGTCCCAAAGGCTCAAACAGCCAAAAGAGTTGTTCGCATGGAGGATATTTCTCCCTGAAGTTACAGGAATGGCTGAGAAGTATGGGCATTGAGCTGTCAAACTATGCAAAAGAACTCTGTTAAAAAGATATATTGGATTTCAGATGGTAATTTAGTAATTTGAGCTTGTCTTGTTGGACACATCGCTCAAGATTCCTTTCCAGGTTGCAAATCTGCTCTGCGATTATAAATCAGTTTTGCCGTCAGTTATCGGTCAAAGACCACTGAAACAACCCTGTCCCATCCACCCTCAAACAAATGCATGAACGCAGCTCCCCATCTTGCCGAAGCCACATGGGGTTGCTTTGCACTGTCCTCATGCGGCCGTTTGGAAAACGGGGATCAATCAAGCTGCACCTTGAGGGTTGCTGTTGTGAGTGATTCAACTTCATCGAGTTCCCACAAACAACGTGAAACTGCGGAACATTGACCAGCTGAACAGCGCACACAAAACGCGAAACCCGCTGAACTTCGAACAAAACAACATGCATCATCCGACACCTGCGATGCCATGAAAGGAACCCCCTCAGCACATCACAAAATTGTTTTCATCCATTTTCATCCTCTAATTTAAATATGCCAGAACATCCAAGGGTCATTGACCCTGTCGCTCTTTTCGCCCAGCATCTGAAAGCCCAAGAGCTTCGCCGTCTCCGCGCGGTCCAGCGCTAGACCGTTGATGCCGAAGCCCGCGGCGGAGCCCAGGGGGTTCTGGTCCAAGACGCCGATCCTCACCGGGTCGGTCGCGTCGGGGTGGCCAGAGAAGGTCACCCCTTTGGCTTGATCAAAGGGACTCAGCTTGAGAGAGGGTAATAGGAGGTACGAGCCATTGATGGAGAGTGTATTACCTTTGGATTGCCCCATACTTTGCCCCCCATACATTCCATAGACACCCACAAACACCCTGGTTCTGGGAAGTCCCCACAGGACAGAAGGTTCAGGCATGTGTCTGTCATTTACATGGAGAATCATGGGGATATGCTAGAGAACCCATTTTGGTGCGACAACATGTCGACAACCACTCATGGATTCAACATAAAACAATGAATCCAAGCAACCGCATCCTCCCTGGTGGAAAGTTCCACATAGCTACAAAATCAGCAATCTGCAACTTATTGCTACTGTTCCCCGTTAATAAAACAACCCAAACAACCTCAATTCACTTGCCCACATAATTGTGACAACCACATGGATACCAGCTGCGTATCTGTGGGTGCCCAACCGAACGGCCCGCCCAACCGAATGGTGGTCCAAGCAACGCGCCATCCAACATCTTGGTGGAGTCCCTCCAGCCCTGGGCGAAGGACCCCAGCCAGGTGCCCACGGTGGTGGGCATGGCCCGCTGCATGTGGGTGTATCCTGCGCAGAGTCGTGGCCAGAAAAAATGTCTTTGGCTTCGTTTGCTTGTGAGCACTAAGGGCGTTCAAAAACGCCCCTGCTGACCGAATCATCCCAAATTGTCACTAACATCATGACTTCCTGAAGAAATGGACAACAACTGCAGAAAGACTGTGGCTCTTCCTAGACGCCCATGATTTCCGGAATTCCTGCAGCTGATCACAACGACCCCTCCCGTCCTGGCATCGCCACGGCATTGAAGTCACTGACCCTAGCCTTGCGGTCCAGGCTATGTCGAGGGCTCACATGATGTGGTTGGGAATTGGTCTACTACCCCCGACGTAGTCCACTTCTCCTTTCTGTATCATATCAAAAACTAGAACTCTTCTCCCACATGACTACCTCAAGTGGGTGAAACGATAACACGGTCGTGATGTTGGCAGTATTGTCACATCTACTACAGTATGACAAAAACTGAGGACTCCTTTTGGGCCCCTTGGACTCATGGCCTTCAGATTGCTCCACAAGTCCCAAAGTTCATCGATTCACACCTCGGCCGCTGTTGCCAAATCACTGGCCAGCTGCCGGATCAAGCGCAACCTCAGGAGTCTTTGTCGCGACTTGCAGGGGTGGGATGAAAAAGTGTTCAAAGCATCTAAAATACAATAAACGTTAAAATCTAAAATATAATGTGCTGAATATTTCTTGAAGGAAACACTCAATGATGATCCCTTTGGTCACCTAGTGAGGGGGAACCTTGGGCGTGGATGTGCTTCAGCTCGTCGACTGGAACTGGTGTCCAGCTGATGTATTGGTGGAGGTTCCGCATCCAACCAACTTGAAAAGCCCCGTCTCACCGTTCCTGGCTCCTTCCAAAGCTCTCCGAACCGGCACTCCAGCTGAAGCCTGTCTTTTTGAGGGGGAGACGAGTAGAGATGAGTAGAGTGATGCTGATGAACCCTCTAAAACAGATTGAACATAGTTGCGTCCCTTCACTCAAGCAACAGCAGTCGATTCGATGCTTTGAGCCAGGGAGCTGTTCTAAGGAATAGAGCCGGATCATCGTCATAGACCTCAAGCACCAGCACTCGAGCTGGAAAAGAAGCTGCGCTGCCCAAATCTTCCATGGCTGTTAGGGGTTGTAGGCATCAAGCTGTTCTGGCATCAAGCAGTTCCAAGCGAAATGCCATGAGAAATGGCCGGGCCTGAGAGTGTGCCAGTGGCGGCTGCTGTGGTTGATGTAGCTGACAAGTTGTTGTTGCTGCGTCAAACACCCAAAATTCCATCATCTTGATGCCTCAAAGACTTTCCCTTAAGTGTCAATAGCCTCTAATTGGTCTATGGAGCTGGTTCTTCTTACATACCCGCCCAAATTTGTCACTAGTGCTGGATCTGTCTGATGTTGTGCTCTTGATCGAGCTCACCCAAACAGTCTCTTGTTGGGATCGGGCTATGAAATCTTGGAGACGATGCTGCAACTCAGGGGTCGACTCACCTCCCTTGGACACACAATGGATCGTATCGGTTTTTACATGGTGCGGTTTCAACGGCGGCGCAGCGACGCGTCCGCGGCGTGCGCTCCCGAGTGGCTGGTCATTCCGAGAACGTCCGGTGTGGATCTTCTTGCCCACCTCGCCATACTTCCTCGGTCCAAAACGATATGGCCAGCAGCTTCAAGAACACATCTGCGATGGCGGGTGACCATGTATTCTGTCTGGAGCTCACAGTGTCACACCAGCAAGCTCTGAATAAAACAACATAGAACAACAGTTAAACAAACACGAACTGAACACATCTGAACAGAATTTGAGCCCTTCACAGATCACTCTAGGCCTCACTGCTTCGGACCTATCAACCCACCTGGTCAACTGAGCGTCTCGGTGATGTACTGCTCGATGGCCGTGTGACCGTCTTCTTGGCTTCGCGTCACCTTGAAATCACCTGGGCTGCATGTCATGCTGCCTATAAGCAGTTTGTTCCTGCGGGGCCACTGTCCAACCAACTACCCTTCGAACTGACCTGCTTCATGCATGCTTAGCTTGAGCCTTCAATGGGGTTGGTCGACACTTTCACCCAAGCCTCGGATGTCCAACATGTATACTACAGAGTGTCTATAGTCTAAGGAAAGTCTGCTTCAACAATCTGAATCAGAGTTGTGGGGACTGGGGAGGTATATCCGCCGACCCCAGACAATGGGGGAGCGCGCCAGAGAACACTGCCCGATCCGGATAAAACATATGTAAACCCCTTCATAGGAAGTGCGATTCTGGTTTCAGGTTTCTGCAGCCAAGGCCACCTTTCTTCCAAAGTTCCTCGATCTCCTTCAAGGCTTTCTTCAAGGTGTCCAGCTCCTCACGCTTGTCTTGGGGTTAAAGGAAGGAAATTCAAGCCAATTCTTGTCTTGGGGTTGGAAGGATTTAATTGGAAGGAAAGCAAATCCAAGCCAACTTAAATCCATCCAAATGTTGCTTTGAATTTGCTTCCCGCCGCTCATAACCCATCTCATTGTGCCTCATTGTGTCTCCCGCCATGTTCTTTGATTTCATAGAATCCAAAAACAAAACCCCAACCACAGCTGCCTTGGCCGCCCCCAAGCGAATACTGCGACCTCTTTGGTGAGCACGCCGATCTTCTGCAGCATGGTGGCGTGAGCCGCGCTGGCTTTCAGGTCGAAGGGCAAAAGCACCTCGCCATCTAAACGGAAGTCCTGGCACAGTCGGGAGGTGCATGGACCAGAGACCTGTTTCAAATATCTCGCTCCAGCCAGGATCAGTCCTTTAAGGTGTTGAGTCTCAGCAGCAAGGCAGGGATCCACAAGGTGAGTGCAAGGAAACATTGGCAATACATTACTGTATTGTGTTGGCACGTTTATGCCGCCCCTCAAATTGCTCTCCCACAAGGCTGCCAACGCCGATGTGGGATGAAACAAACATGAACAAAATGATCGACAAACTCTCTCCGGTTCTCTGGCAAGCTTCCACAATGAATTCGGGTCAAAACCTACAACCCCAGAAACGTTGTGGATGGCGACATGTTCCGAGTTGCTCACCTTCAAACAAACATGGAGCCTGGTCACCTGGTCTACAAATGTTGACACCTTGACCGTGTTTGACACTTAAATCTGCTACAAAAAACAAGTCAACACAAATAAAACCAGGACCCTATTTCCCATGGACACCTTCCTCCCGGGAATCCCAATGGACGCCGTCCTCGCCCACCTGGGAGGATGGCGCGGCTGAATGGGAATTGGATGGGGGACGAGCAACTCATTCACGAAAAAACCAAACACATGGCTAGAGTGGTCGAGAGTCCAGTAATTACGATCGAGAGTCGATATGGAATGCAATGGAGATGAAAGGATCTACTTTGAGCAAGTGAAGAAGGGAAGCCACATCTCAATCTGGGAGAGCATCATCCAGAAGTGGTGTTTCACCACGCTACTACACTCCAACATCCCACCGCAGCTCACCACAGTTTGGACATTGCCCGATTCAGCAGCACTACGTTCAACCTGGGCACAGTGTAGGCTTCCACCAGGGGATGTAATCCTCCTCCACTTCCTTGCCAAAGCTTTGCCATACCGGACGCGGATCGCTTGCTGGATGCAGGGGACAAAAAGGAGCTGAAGAGTTTTTGTGCGGGGTTTGTGCATGCCAAATCGGTGCCCTGAAACGCGGCGTGTCAAAGCTCAACATGTCTAGCTCAACATGTCAATAACATGTCTACGTCGACGTATGATTACGTCTAAAGCTTGTCAGGAGTGTTCAACATACTTAGTAAACAGCTCCATTCTTTTCAGCTACGTGGTCGATACTGAAGGATCTTGGCATACTGTGTGGCTATTCCTTCCGCTCATGATATTTTACTCTTAAAGATGGCTGCAGGTGAGAAAAACACGAACATGGAGGCATGGGCGATACCGACAAAGTCACAGCTTGCAGGGTGCAGCCGGCACAGTGCGGCCTTTTCCGTCGCTGGGTTGTTCGTGGATTGGCCCACGCACATGATATTCCTTGCTACAAAAGGGACAAGCTATGCAGCTATGATTCGGCTATGATCTTCACACATTGCCAGTGCGAGCATTGGATTCTGGAGGCTGTGCCTCTCTGCCTCTACCATGACATCTTCCAGGCACCAGTTTAGGTTCATTGATCTCTGAGGGGGTGGTCAGCAGCCTCATCCAGCGGCCAGCTTAGTTGTCTGCAGCATGTGGGTTGCAAACTGGATTTTTGGAACTGCGAAAGCATTCCTCAAAGTTCGTTGACAACAGCTTGGATTAGGATCCAACGCCGCCCGAACTGGTCGGCACCACTTGCAGGCCTTGCATGCGAGAAATACTTACTTTTGGCAAACCAAAGGTTGACCTGCAATCATGCTTGATTTGCAAACCATCATGCTTGATCTGAAATCCTTGATGTCTGATCATGTTGATACTCTAAGAAAGCCTGGACTGGATGGAGAAAAGCTGTCTGGCAGGTCGGCGCACTAAACATCTCAAAACCTGTCAGGTAGGTCGGGCAATCCAGACCTGCGCCAGCAAGCAGTGACACCCCACACGGTTTGACAAGAAAACACTGCGCCAGCAAGCAAAGCCGTCACCACTTATTGACTTTCTGCCTTGTTCGATCTCCAATGCCATTGACCAATGGATATGGTTGCATGGTGCCGCTGCTTGGACTCTGCTTGTTTGAGCCCGGTCGCCCAAAGCATAGAACCAGGTCGTTGAGGACACTTGAGGATTCCTGGGATTGCGTCTCTGTCCTGTGCTGGGAATCTGCTATCAGTGCGGCATCACCCTCCATCAACAACGTCAGTGAGGAAACATTGATCGATCAAATATTATGGCAGCAGCGAGTCCCCTTTACGGCTGGTATGCCTGCTCTCGCCAACATCCACGATTCAGTCGCTTGGCCACTGCTGTGTCAAGGATTGCATGACTGACAACTTTGTAGTTTCGAACTGTTGTTGGACATCGAAGCTCAGCCACCTCAGCTAAGTGCTTTGGTGAGAATGGTAAGAACGGATGGCCCCAAATAGTCTCATCTGTAGCATTCAACCATATCCTACTACCAAACAAGCACACAAAAAGTGTGTATATATAGCTATACAAACACATAAACAATCATAAACCCCTCTCTTCTTGAAATTGGTCCAAAACCCCCAAATCCACCATTGCTGGGATGTATGTCTAGTTATATACTTGTTACTGACACATATGTTAATTAACAGAAACCCTAGAAGTGTGGCTGTTGGATCATAGCAGGTGGTTTCCAACCTTTGAGCTCAGCGCAGGCACCTGCACCTTTCTTCGGCACCGGCACCTTCTCATTCTCCTCACTCTCCTCACTCGGACGTGGACGCTTTGGATTCAAAATCCTCACCGTCCTCTCCAGCACATCGACACCCTGATGTTTCAGGTAATGCAACAAATCCTCGGGGCACCGCTTCATGCTGAGTGGACACCGCCAAGCATCGCGTCTGGGCCGATCCCAAAGAAACTCACGTTTTGTTTTGGTTGGACACCCCAACAGTTGGCCAATAGTCACCAGCTATCTTGGAAATGGCCAGCTATCTTGTCCCCCAAGTCTCCTAATAAGACTTCAAGGGCACTGATTCTTTGTGGAGTGTTTGGGGTAAATGCAATGGCTTTCTTACAAATTCTCTGCTGCACTGGGATTGATGAAGACCTGCCAATACGCTTGGCAAGTGCAAAAATGCTCCGGATTGTGGAGTGTTCTCGACTAAACCAACTCCAAGTCTCAATGAAGACCCAGTTCTCTGCTAGCTTCTCTCCTTCCCTCCGGTAGACATCCACCACCTCAGGGAATTGTGCAGACACCCAAAAAAACATTTTAGTGATGTCCGCTGTGCCTAGCTTTGCACAACATCTTCAGATCCCACATCATCTTTGCCATACAGTTGAAGGTTACATGCAATGCTCCTTCCAGCCTACATCAGCAACTGTAAACAACCTACATTGACGTAAGAAAAGCAGCATGTTGAATCTTATAGAGACACTACAAATATCTACCAGTATACAATTTTGACCATCACTCTCCTGCATTGGCGCATCCGGTTTGCCCCCCGGCAAGCCCAAAAAGCCGCCCTGGTTGGTGTTCGTGAGGTTCATGGGCCAACCGAAGTAGGCTGCATAGTTACCCTCTGCGATCCGAACCTGTAGAGCAATCACAAGAATACGCACTTCAGTAACATGAACAAACAAAGGACCTTGAGGTTTGACTTCAGATTCATGCGATGTGCTGTGTCTTTCATGTTTTTTTCCTTATAACTTAAAACATGAATACCATTGAATACCACATCGCAGACCCGTACGACATCCTCTACCGGCATCGACTCGACTTACTTCTCAAAAAAATCCGGAAGCTCAAAACAGTTCGAAGCCGGACCTGATGCCCATGGAAGCGTTTGTCTGCCAACTGAGCTCTGAAGGGCAACTGGTGCTGCTCCTGATATCGTTCGATGCTGCTGGTGGCTCCGATGCCTGCAGGACCATACCAGGTCATGTTCTCATGCCAGCTGCGCCGGAGGATGGAGGGGTCAAAGGTGAAGGAATGATTTTGCTGGCTCAAGTCATCAATCATACCTCAGAGTCAAACAGCTCAAATCATATGAAATGATTTATAAACCACTTTTAAAGATATTAGAACTACTTTGGAAACAGCATGTCCTGTGCTCTTGGAGCTCTTCATGAGCTCTTCACTCAGACCTCCATGTCTTGTCAATAAAAAGCGCATGGCGGCCTTCGTTGCCCAGTTGCGATCCACCAACGCTTGCGTTTGCAAACCCTCTTTCTCCGGTGCGTTGTCCTTCAAGTGGAGCCCATCATGAGTTCGTGGTCCGGGATAGCAGAAGTTCACGCCCGTGGAGGGCGGCAACGGATTCATCCCCAACGCCTAGCGAGCAGCACCGGTGAATAGTTGTAAAACCCCGAGAGGTCAATGAATTGACCTGGATATTCTGCTGCAACAATGTTCAAGCACGCTCAAGAAAGTCCAAAACATGTTCGAGTGTTTTATCCTCTTGAAGTAACGTTGCAAGTATCATATACTTTTTGGTTTCATAATTTACTCTCTCGCTCTCTCTCTCTCTCTCTTCACATTTGTAGACTCATAGAACTGACTTCTAAGCATCGCGACCTGCGCATCCCAACTACACACACAGGCTGATATCCTCACCGCCAGAAGCAATGGATTTGCCTGCATCAACCCTACAATGTCGAGGAAAAGACCAGTCTGCACCACCTTCCTCAGATTTCTTTGTGGCTCAAAGAAAGAGTGCCCCTCAAAAGACAAAGGACAAATCAACCAGTTTACCCGTCGGTAACAGGTCAAGTCTCCGACAATTGTCGGCAACACAAACTCCCTTGAGAAAGACTCCAGCATCAATCAGCCTTCGTTCTTCAAAAGGGAAGCTCCAAACCAACATCAGCTAACATCACCTCGAACTCCCTCAAAAGTCGTACAGTTTCGTAGGTGTGCTTAGACTCTACCTCTCCTTCTAATTCCTGATTCCTCCCACTAATTCCTGTTCCCTCCGCACTGAAGGGGTCCAAATCTCAACAGCCAGTCTGTTTCACGCTGCAAAGTGCGTCAAACCCAAGTCTTACATCCTATAAACAAGCCTCAATCGAAGGGCTTCCATCGGTCATCGTTTGCATTTCTCTTTCGAGTCTCCCTACGGAAAAACCTACATCCGATCGTACACCCATGGTCTATGCCCCCTCCACCAGCTCCGTTGCCCACGTGCCACTCGTGTCTTCCCGTTCTGCCAGGTCTCTTTGAAGTCACAGAGACCTCTGAGAACTCCGCGTAGCGCAAGGTCTGCAGCTGCCGCGTGGCCCGCAAGCCCAACCAATCCGTATCGAAGAGACCCATGAAATGACCTCGTTTCGCCGCCGGTCGGGCTGGTGGTCGGGCTGAGCTCGTTTGTTTTCTTCTGAAGGAATCGGTCGGACCTCTTCCAAAGCTAGGGGTAGGAACATGCTAGCAACTAAACGTGTGCTGGATCAGCCTTGGTTGTGAACTTTCTCAGCATGTGTTCTGACTTCAATTTATCGATGTCTTATGCTCATTGGTGACATCCAACTAATAACTCAAACTTGTAAAAACTCTTCTGCGATTTGCCAGCAATATCAACATCACACCATCTTTTCGGTTGATGAAGGTTGCATGCGATCCAAAATGGAAAGGTGAACAAATGCATATTCAAACAACATAGTGGATTGACAATCAGCAAATCCTCCACCGTTGATGATGAATCATGATAAATCCTTCTTGTTCGATTTCTTTGCAAGGTCTATTCTCCCTTCTCTTGTTACATGTGCCAAGGCCTCGTTGCCAATTTGTGCTCTCTTGTTTGACAAGTTGCAACTAATGTGTGGCAGGGCATATTCCAAACTTCCAAGTTCGGAAGCTTTGAGCTTTTACCTTCCTCACTGCTCACTTTTGACCATTTGAGTCAACCTCAAGCACAGGATGTCAACGCCAGCTGCGTCCAAGAAGCCCATGGACAAGACCCATAGACCACTGCCAACGGAATTCTGGCCAGCAATCAAAATGTCCGAGCGCCATTGCATCCTTTTACCGGTGCATAGAGGTGAGTCATGGGTCTGTGGGTCAAGGGGCAATTCCTATCGACTCAGGGACATCAAGCTCCTACTTGGTAGCTTGAAGTGCTTCATTTGCTCTATGGGTCTACTCACATGGGTAGTTGAAGACCCATCAGCCTTATTGGTAGTTGAAGACCCATATGTCAGAGTATCTCACTGTCAGCATACATTTGTATAGATTCATTTTGTTATTGACCGTATGTCCTGTCATCCCCACCTTTGAAAGGACTGCTTCAAAGGCTTCCAGAACTGTGCAGCCGCACTGGTGCCCCGCAGCTCACGGAAGGGATGCACGCAGCGGAAGACGTAGGTCGCAGGATCCAAGACATACCTGGGGGGTGGCAACTCGCCCCCAAGTACGCATGGAAAAGGTCTAGATTTTGTATCTCAGGTCTAGATAGTGAGTACGGCCAGTGAGAAGGTCTATTTCAGATCCATGGAATCTCCCCCAAAGTGAGAAGGTGAGAAGGTTCGGATCTGGAATCTCTTTTCCTAACTACCAGCAGCTCAGGTTCAAATGCGAAAGGAGATCCTTCAGCGACCCGTTTGGACGGCGACCGCCAAACGACGGCGACAGGCGACGGCGATCCTTCAGGTCGCAGGATCCAATCGATCCAATGACCCCATTGGCTGAAGCGGACACATGATTCTTGGCTTCTTTCACGCATCAAACAGTTCTTTAATTCTATATTGTTTTTCAGATGTTTTCAGGTTCGCTGGTCTAGTCTAGTCTAAAGTCAAAATGAAACATACACAAACAAGGATTGGCTGGCCATGTTGCTCATCCAAGATCTTCTGCACTTCGCTCACACAACAGGTCTCCAGCTTTTCATGGAAGTCCCAGACCAGTCCTCGACCAACCGCCCTCGTCCAGCGCTCGCGCTCGTGCCGCCCAAGTCCAGTGTGAGTTGTGGCACCCCATTTAACTCCGACTGAACATCGTAATTTGTCTGATTGGGACCACCACGGTTTGGAGGGTCGTCCTGGTTCCAAGATCTACATGCCACCAGCCTTTAGCACCCGGCGCTTGGCCGCGCGGAATGGAACAAGGGGAAACAGCGAACATGGATCCATGGATCGGTGACACAAGGGGCAGCCAGACCTAAAGAACTCGGGGTCAATGAGACTTCCTTGCCCAGCCCTAACAAGCGATGGATTGGCCACAAGCTGGGCGGATTGATGGGCTGGGAGTGGAGTTGGGGTTGGAAGGTGCGACCCTGAACAAAACTCAGCAAATGAAACCATGAAATCATGAAACGGACAACAAACCTTGAACGCCATCTGCGAGACACCGCCATTAGCTTGCCAAGAGTCGCTTCGCGCTCAACAAGTCATCATGGCTGGAACTCATGATCCTCACAATGCCATTGCGGAGCGCGTGTCAACGGCACCCCCGTTCAGCGGGGGCGCATGTCTCGTGGGTGTTGAAGCTGTGCTTGTTGGTTCAGATCTTTCATCCTTTTTCCATGGGTTGAATGGAGTTTTAAGGACTAACAAGTCAAAACATGAGAAGGTGTACACTGTATAGACATCAATTCTATTTGCTGAATGAGACATGGACATGTGAGGCGGATTAAGAGTACTGATGTCTATGGCTGCGGATCATGCACTACCTTCTGATTTCACCTCCGACTAAATCCAGTAAGGCTGAACCTTTGCACTGATCATTATTCTTACCTTCGAGTCCGGATGCTCACCAGAGTGCTGCTGGCCCTAAGACTTTAGCTAACCAGCTAAGGTAGTATCACTGATATCCTGATATCCTCCACTAAACTAGAATGATATCACTGACTGAGCGCGGAAGAATTTGACAAGCTATCTAAGGAGGTCTCCGCCCTCGACTTTTTCCGCTCTGCAGGCATGTCTGTGCAGGTGGTGTGAGCCCAGGCGCAAGATTTGCCAGCCCGGAGAAGGAAATGGATCTTCTGCGGTTGGACCCATCATGGGTTGATTTGAGGTTCAGGGGCGTATTCTCAAAACGAGGGAACCGCCACAAATAAAGTGTTTTCATCTATACTTTTGCAACCCGTCAAGGAGTCCAAAGCTGGGTTCTTCCAATTCTGAAACATAAAATCTTCGGCTACATGTGGTTGAGTAGATGGAACACAAATCAGGTCGACAAAGCAATGGCGAAAAGAACGACAAATAGATGATGATAGAGGACTAGAAATGGATCGAGCCAAATTGGCAGCCAGAATGTCCGCAGCTTCTAATCCAATCCCTCGCGGCCCACACACTTTGCGCTCTGCTTACATTCCGCTTGCGGCGCAAGCGCCCCAGTCCTTCTGGAAGAGGCCACCGCCGCCGTCTACACACCTCGCCAATCGGGTCTTCTCTACGTTTTCTCCTCGTGGGTAGGGGGAGGTCCGATGACCCCCTGGATGAAGAAAGGAGTGTGACGAAAGGAGTAGTCGTTCACCAGTGTTGACGTCCCATCGGGCTTGTTAGTGAAGAAGTGTGTTCGGTCAGTTAGACGATCATTCATAAGGCATGCTGACAGGTATACCCTGCATGTTCCAAGAGAAGATGGTGGCTAGGTACAGAAGAGCTTGAGGGTGTTTGCCCGTCTTTCTCACTTGCAGAAGACCTGTTTAGTGCTGTGATGTCACCCAGTTCTCTCATCTCGGCAAAGGAAATTTGCCGCTCAAATCAAGGGTTCGTGACCTGCCGATGTAACCCTCTTCTCCACATCCTCCCAAAACAAACAGTTTAACGACTTGAGGTTCTTGACTTGAGGTTCTTGGTAGAGTGTGGCAACGGAGGTTTTCTGCCGAACATGAGGCTTGGGGCATCTTGGGTTTTGCCTTAAGTCTTAACTCTCAAGATGTGTCCTCCCAGAAACTGACCCGTCACATGGAAGAACTGACCGATCAGCAATCTATCGCGCTCAGCCATGGCCCATTTGTCCCACGGCAACTTGAAGACAATGAGGTAATCGATGTCCCTGAGCCTAGGCAGTGAGTCATCACCTTGAATTACAACTGATCACAGGCTTCTGGTAGATTCAGCGAGCCTGGAAATGCTTCTTGGTCGTTTCCAGAAAGGCCGAAATGTCCTTCTCAAAAGTGGGCGGCTCCTCCTGGCGTGTCATCGCGCCAAAACGTCAGTGTCTTTGCCTAAGGCTTGGTTCCCTGTTGTTCTCCAAGACCCTGTTGTCCTCCAAGATTTCTGTTGATTGAAGTTCCATGCAGACTGGAGTGAGACAAAGTCACCATTACCCTGTGGAGACCTTCACAAACTGACGTGTCTTCGTTGTGGGCTTTTCCCACCCTCAAACAATAGGTTCACAGATCACATTTCCACCATTCCACACAAATCTTCGCTCCGAAAAACTAATCTGACTAGGGTTCCAAAGTGAACCCTTGAACCTTCCTGGGTGAACTTTCCCTTGTAGAACTTGCAAGGCTTCCACCCATCTATTTTGCTATTCAATGGATGCGAGTTCTTCGTCCAGCCAAACCACGCCTCCTGCGCTCGTTTAGGCCGAACTTCCCCCAGGTAGGTGTCGTAGGGAAAGCCCAAGCCCAAGTCCTCATTGGGGTCCTGCAGCATTCGGAGTTCAGTGCTGAAAAGCAGCTATCCAGCAATCTCGACTTCAAAATAGTGTCGTTTTGGAATTGACATACTAATGGACCCACACATGTCACCGCACCCCTGCACCAAGCAATGCCATTGTCACCATGCAAAAAGGGAAGACCACAAACACACACGTTCGTCAACTCCGCCTCTTTCCACAACAAAGAAGTGTCACACAGAGCCGCTGTGTGTGAGGACCGCGCTTCAGGCCTTGCCCATCTCTCCACTGTACCAGACTTTGGGCGGCAAGTACCAGGGATTCCGCATCTGCGCGGTCCGTGCCCGAGGCAAGACGTGTGGATGAGGCAAGTTGGAGTCTTCATGACACACGACACGTGCCAATGTCATGCAAGTGTGTCACAATTGGATTGCAACATGATACAACAACAAAGTTGATTTGATTAAGTTGTTAAACTGCAGTGAGATCAGGAAAGTGTCCAATGGTACAGTCATGTTGTTGCAAGCGCGGGCCGCAGACTGAGGGAACTACATGCCACGGATGCCAATCTTCAGTGAGAGCGCAATTGGCAACGAAAAACATGCATTCAACATCATGAACTAAACCTCTTATGACCTTGCTTAGCCCAGAGCCAAGCAGCTTGATGTTGCCCAAAAGTGTTTCGACTTCACCACCTCTTCCCCCAAAGGGGCCGGACAACTCGCTCCCCGAGCGGTTTATGTGCCGTGCCGTGCCGTCGCAACGGCGCGCCTTCCGTGGAGATTTCTGGGACTCGCCCAGATAGACCTCATCGCCCTGGGAAGAAGTCGAGGACGGAGCCAGGTCCCGGACAGTGCGTCGTGACGGAGAAGCACGGGCGCGCAACGCAGCTCGCGTGCTCGTTTGGCAGCTCGCGCGGGGTTTTGTTGCGGAGTTCATCGGAGTTCCCAAGCTTGAGTTCCCATGAGGTGCAATTGGATGGTGTTGGGAAGGTTCCCCAAAATGAGGGGAAGTTTGGTCAGTTCATATTGTGCTACTTTCATTTTTGGGCCTCGACCGGAGCCCAGATCCTACAGGGATCCACTGGAGATTTTTATATGGTACAAAGCAACTAAGAAGTGGATCAACAACCGACCCTGTTTGCTTGGTCTTTGCTTGCAGGATGACTTCGTCATGGGAGGTCTTTTGGTGCAACAATGATGTCTTTTTCATTCTTTTCACCTTGCTTGTGCCACAACTGTTCACCACCAAAATACAAACATGATCAACCATGCACTCTCCGGCTACAAATCGTACAAATGCTCTTCCCCTTCCTCATGAATGCCCTTTCCTCTCCGTTGCAAGAACTGGATTCTCGCACCACCACCTTCTTTCTGTTGCCCCTCTCTCTCTCTAATACTCTAATTTCTCAAGCTTTCCATGACTTTCTCCCTTTCACCGTCCCCAGCCGCTCTCCTGACGCCGGCGATGCTTCCCGTGGCTGGGCACTTTGAATTCCAGCTCATCCTCCTCGAAACCGCGCCGCCGGGCTCCGGCCACGGGGTCCCCGGTGGTTCGGGTGGCTCAGTATTGGTGCCCTCGGCCAAACATGGAGTTGTCTGGTCATCTGTCACAAGGATTCATTGATTCGTTGCTTTTTTCCTCCAAAGAATCTTAAGATCTAAAGAACTATACTTGGAGGGGATCAACAAGCGAGGTAATTAGTTCAAAAGGAACCTTTGATGCCAACCTCAGGAGATGCACACAAGAAATCTTAGTATCTCCAACAGTAGTAGGAAGTCACAGGGATGTCTTCAAGGAATATCTAGTCAGTTCTCGCTTGGAGGCAAAGATAACAAAGTATTGGACTTTCAACAGTTGAATAAAGTCCAAAGACCCCTGCAACGACCCACTACTTTCCAGGCTTGACAAACTTTGCTTCATGGTTTGAGGGGTTCCTAACTCAGAAAGAAACATCGATGTGGGTGTCACGACACTGACACACTCTGTTGAATCCCCAAACAGGGTATTCACAGAGTCTAGATGTGAGCCAACAAGATCTGGGTCAAGTTTTGCCAAAGTTGATGTGCGACTTTCACCACTTTGATCCACACGCTCTCCCTCTGGCCTTGCTTTTGGCCCGCTCTGGTGGCACCTGAGGACATCATGAGGATCAGGAACGAATCAAGTGCTTCAGGGAAAACAGGCCTGCAAGTGCCAAACTGCCTCTTGTTTTGCTAGGATCTGGTACTGACCTTGCAGGATTATGACTTGTTTTCCGGACGAATGATAGATATGTTTACCTCCCTCCAGGTGCCTCCATACCAACGCAAGGCATCTTCGAGTGTTCCTATTGTCCGGTTCGATACACACTCTCCAAACGAACCAAGCCACCTGGTAGATGAACACAATTAGCCTGAACATGGGGCAAGCCAGACTGGGAGGTGCTTGGTTACATTGGAATATGTAGTAATTACGGAGTCTTTTTCCGCCATCAACTGCAGCTTGGGTGCATTGCCCAACAACTCATCCACCAAACGCCGACTGAGCTGACTTTCCACCGCCACCACGCGGTTGTCAGGTAGAATGATGTGGCATCCACCGTCCGCCGAGTCCTTCCGAGGGCTGGAAGGGAAAACCCAACAACACGGGCATCACATGATGATTGGGTCAGGTGACCCAGAACAACTCGAAGGAAAATGAGCTTTCTTGTTAAGCTACTAGGAACAAGTGCATCGCTGCTAGGAACAAGTGCCTTACTAGTAGTAACAAGAATTAAGCTATTGGGAACAGCCGCACGAGCTGAGTCTTCTGGGCAGTTTGCGGCCAACTTGCGCTTTTAGCGCTCTCGACCCTGCCAGGGCATTCGACTGCAGCAGTAGTCCTCAGATCCTAAATGGGAAGTCTATCCGTTGGATGAGTGCGGTCCGGTCTTTGGTACTGCATATGATCTGGGGAGGTTCCGCGGCAAGGGACACCTTACCCTGGGCGTGTTCAATCCAGCCAGGAAGAAGGCGGCGCTTTAGGACTGGTGGTGCACAAACTGAGGACGCGTGCCTTGACTCAGTTCTAGTGACGCGTCCTTTGTTCAGTTCCTCCTTAAGGAGGTTTAGGTGGCTAGATCGGCCCAGGTCGACTATTGATTTAGAGATTGAATGCATGGAACAAACGAGCGAGTGTCAAGCGACATCCTGAATGTTTTATAAATTGTTGGAGGTCTCTTCAGTTCGTGGAGACAAGATGAGACAAGGGCGGTCGTTTTTCTTGACTATGTTATCCTTCTTTTGCCACCCAAATCTTCTTGGGTCCACTTGTTCATGCAACAGACTATGTTCTTTTTCCCACGAGTTCTCCTTTTCAACACCCCAATCTTGCCACCACCCCAGCAGCATCCTCTGGCTCTCGCTTCGTCTGCAACAAGGTCTCGTCGGTGGTGCCCCCTCGCCAGGGCTTTCGACCTGCACAACATGTGCGTGTCATCTGGGGTTTACACATTTTTATTAATTGGACTTTGGTCCTCAAATCAATCCAAAACATAACATCATTCTATATCATACTTAGAATTCCATGGCATGTGCCCAAACACAAATGATCCGAAATTCAACTAAAACCCCAAAACATCCAAAACATAATTCTTCAACTTACCATCAACTTCCTCAGCCATCAATAAACGTCCGGCCTTGGAC